TTAAATCGTCTACTAACTGAAAAGCAGGAAGAGTGAAATACCACCTTTAGCTTTGATACTTCAGAAAGGTTTCAGAACAGTGCATGAAAGGTACGGGGTTAAATTTATGCCGTAGAGTGGTTGCATGAGAAAAAGTCTTAGAAAGTGTAGCATATTTAGTCTGAAAGAAGCAGCAGACTGGCTGATGATCTCATTATAGTCTCTAAATATATAAAAAGATTATAGAAGAAACTGATTGTGACCTACCTGGCTGGACTCTGAAAATTAAGGAAAGATATATTGCCCATGACGGACAATGAAATCTGCACAGAAATGAAACAGGGAAAGCCTTAATGATGTCTTTTGAGTGAATCGGAGCACAAAGTCTTGAAATAGAAAATGCATATATAATAGTTTAACTAATAATCAAAGGTGAGGTATGGAGACTAGAGGTGAGCACAGTATTCTTAATAACGTTTCTGAAACAGTAGCATTGTGAAAATTATTATGACAGCCTGATGCAGTCGTTTTGTAGAAGCTGTGCTCTAGTCTGTTGTCTGAAATAGTGGAGGAGGATGGTTTCAAATATGCCATCCATAGAAATAGAAAAAGACTGTAGTGTTGGGAAAAGCCATTGCCAGAGCTGGCTACCCAGCTCAGGGCTGTGTGTACTGGGCCCATGCCCAGCCTAGGTGAAGGATACCTGTTATGTATGTATATATGTATAGTTCAACGGTAAGATATCTTAAAACTTTTTCCAAATGTATCTAGCATAAAAATGCAGAAGGGGCTGCTAACAGATCTTTTAGTAAATGAACAAACAGGCAATATTTTTAGCTAGTGAATCAAAATAAGTAACCGTAAATATAACACTCACACTGGGGAGGAATTACCCAGGACAGCCACACAACCTCAAAATCAGGAAATTAAGATCAATGAGGGAACTCACTCATGCAGGGCTTTTTATTTAGGATTGAAAACACAAAGAGTAACTTATCAAGTAAGGTCATAAGAGGCAACAGCATAAATGAATTTAAGAGACAGCTCAACATTTTTATGGAGAGAAGGGATTGAAACATTCAGAGCCAGTGACAAATGAGGGAGATGGGGCTGAGATAAAATTAACAAGGACAGGCTTGCTTGTGGCCAGAGGCATTTTACTGTCCAGCAATACCTTATGTCCTCTGTCATTACATCCTAATCTGACACTGACATCTGAAATCATTTACATCTATTAGTATATTAAAGAGGAAAAAGGGCTTTCAGAGCTTTTTCCAAAGAAGAGAAAAATAATGGTACTTTTTCATTTTAACACATGCACAGTGTTGTAGTGGATGCTTTTTCAGATCAAGGAGAGCAATCAGAGATTTCCATGCCATTGATCTACTTTGGTGCTGAATTTGCTCATCCTGCTATTGCAGCATCTCTACTTGCTGATGCAGTGCTGTGTGCTGATGAAGCAGCAAAATGGCTGTGGTAGACTTTGACAAGGTCCCCAGGCCCCCAGCAGCCAGGCACTGCATTCAGAGGTCTCTGAAGACATATTTTTTGACCCTATTGTATGAGGGCATGATACAAAAATCTGACCAAGTTAAGGGAAGAGCAGTTCATGCTGTGAATTTTATCCAGAATTGAAAGACAACTGTGAACTGAAGAAGTGAGCTGTGTGCCAGTAAGGAGACTGTTTCTGTCCCATACTGTTTAGGAGTTAATGCTCATAAAATGAAGATTGAAGGAAATGTGCCTTGACATTTTGGAGAATGTAGATTTATATTTGTTCTGGTTTAAAAGCAAGCAGAAGCCATGGACAAGGATATTAGGGGTAACAGGGCAACTCTGTGGACTGACAAGGACTAAAAGCTATGATTGGAAGGACTTTTCTGGGTATTAGAGAAATCTCAGGTCATGCAGGAGCTCTTCTCAGAGCCCACCAGTCACCTCAGGACAGCAGATCTGCCTGTGGCACAGAGAGGTGTCCAGGTCCAGAGAGATCACCATCAGATACATCATGTACACTGTTGTCAAAAAACCACAGAGGTCTTGTGTGGCTGCACTCTGTGGTAATTGCGTACCAGTATTCCTAGTGTCTTCTCTCCCTTTCTTCTTTGCAATGTAGAGAATGGGATGGAAAATAAGTCCAGCTCTTCTGGGTGACCAGGAGAGGACCACAGGAGTCCTAAATCCACTTAGAATGTAAAAGGCATTCTGGAGGCAGATCAGGGTAGTGTGCTTTGCAGTGGGCATGTTCTGAAGAAAATACCTTGGACACAAAATCCTTTAATATTTCTATCATGCTGAAAACACAGTGATGCTCCCTCGTTGGCAGAATATCTTTCCTTCTTGCTAACAGCGTTATCTTATTTAGATATGCTGAATTTGACAGCAAAAAGCTGGCATTTTTGGTCTTTCTAATATGTTTGTGTATCTCTACAAATGTACAGTCTTTATGCTCCTCTGTAGAGAAGCTTAGCAGATTTTTACAGTGCCTTATTTAAAAGAGAGCACATTCCTTTTTGTGTAGGGTTTGCTGTAACTGATTGCTTAATCTAAACCTTGCTAATGAAGGCTAAACATAAATAATGCTAATCTGGAAGGAAAATAAAAAACAACCCGATATGATTAGGCTTCTGTTGAATACAACAGCAAGACTAGTATCCATTTTCCTTTCTCTTTAGCTACTTGCACCGTAATCTGAATATCAAGATCTTAAATCCATCAGAAGCCCAGCAGGCAGCCCACCTTTATGAACAACTTTACCCTTAGAATAGAATGAAAATGGCTATTACGAGCCATCAGGGGATGGGCAGCCCTGCAGGCTCAGTGTGTTTAGCTAATATAGAGCAGGAGGAGGTGGAAGTTCTTGAATTTGTTTTTGTTTTAAATGGCCCCTCTGCTTCCCGAGGAGCTTTATTGATGGGGTCTGAAAGAAAGCTGAGGTCAACTCTTTGTGTTGATGAGTTAGTGGAGAAATATTTATCTGAGGACTTATGAAAACTACTTAGCTGTAATAATAATGTCAAATTGCTGTTAAATGTGCTTCAGGAACTGTCATTAACAACATAGCTGTACAACCTAATTCTATTTGTTTAAGTAAAGATCTCCTGAGCTCACATTATCCTAGTATATATTTTAAAAGCTTGCCTGCTGAAAACAGAAAACTGGAGACAGTAGATTTTGGATGATATCCAAACTTTGTTGTATCCATTCTGTACTGTGAGCATGTGGAGACGGTGATCTCAACTGGGCCTTATGGACTCTGTAAACAGTAATACTATAGGATTCCTTTTTGCCACTCTGATGCAGCTGCAAGAAGAAATCACCTGCTCCATCTCATCATGGGAGTCCTGGCAGGAAAGATTTATGATGGCGCAGGGGAAACTGCCCATTTCCCTCTTCTTTTTTGGCTGGGTAGGGAACTGCTCTGCAGTGAAGACAGGAAGCTTACAAAGTTGTTGCCTAAGGACAGAATGGGAAGCTGTTAGTGCAAAAGATGCTTAAGACCAAACCCAGTAAGAATAACATAAAATAAAGAATATATTAAATAAAATGAAAAACAGCGATAGATTTCATTTACAAACATCCTACTTCATCTATAAAGCAAAGATCCAAAACTGTTCTGAGAGCAAACATCTCCAAAAAAGATGGAAGAAAAAGATAAAAGTGCCTTACATGCCAGTCCCACTGCAGCACAGGTCTCTCACTTGGGATTTTGTAGCCTGGCCATCATCCACTTGAATTTCAATTGAAATCATCTAATAAAGAGGGTTATCTATGTGCTTTCTTTGAAGGACTGATGAATGCTCACTTAAAAACAGGATTGTGTGGTAAAGGTAGAACGGTGCTTTCGGAAGAGTCATTTTGCATTTTTTATGAGTAGGCTGAGGTTAGACTATCAGCCTTGTGATGGGGCTGAAAGACCTCCTCAGTTAGGAGTGAGATGAAATTTATGCCTCCATCTGAGATGTTCTTGGTGAGGACACCATAATCCCTCCCTCTATCTTCAGTCCACTCTTCAGAACATAAGATTCATTAAACCAGGAAAACTGAAAGTGCTGCCCCTCAGAAAGCAGGTGTAAAAGAATCATTGCAGAAGGGATGTAGAGTAGAAACACTTTCTTGGTATCAGGGATATATTTTTGCATGACGCCTTCTTCTAACAGAGATTACAATGGTTTGAATCCCAGATAGAATAATTTCTTTTAAAATTTGATTATATCACCTGAGGGAAAAAAGAAAAAGATAATTTAAAAATAATATTAAGAATTAGCAGACATTACAAAGGTTAATTGACAATGTAGGAAACTATTCAAACTGACCTGACACATCAATTATACATTAATATTTTAGTTGTCTTAAAACATCTGTTTCCATACTTTTTCAGTAGATCTTATGAAATTAGCTTTTATTTCACTGTTCTTGCAGTCTGGATCATATTTGTTTTGTGTTTGAAGTTTGTTTCTTGGATGAATTTGAAGAACTCAGACGTGCAATTAATACTAGTATTGATGGGCTAATTTTAAAGAGACAACACAAAAGTGCAGTTCATAACAGTGGAAAAAATAACAGGTGAAAAGTGTCTTAAGCACCTGCTTCAGGCCAACATTGCCTGGAGTGCTCCTTTGTGCACTCAGAAACCCTGCAAGAAGCACTTTAGACCAATATATGCAAAAAGCACTTTTATAAAACCACTGAGAGGAGAAGATAAAAATGGCAAATATCATAGCTATTATCTGGAATAATATGTTTGAAGTGGAGAGATGGAAACTCGGAGGATCTAGAAGGAAATGTCAAGATTCAAATGAAATGCTTAGCTAGGAAGATGTTTCTTTTCAATCTGGAAATTATATCAGCCAGTTACCTCTCCCTTCTGTGAACAAAACAAAACTGAAATTCTTAGGAGATGTTAAAAAAAAAAAAAACAACCCTGCAATTTTCTGATTATTACTTTGACTAAAATACTTTGGCTATCTCATATTCAATTTCTTTACCTAGTTTCTGAATTCCTTCACTCTGTATTGTAGGTGACTGACAGACCCTGGTCCCCCACTGGGACAGGACTGACCTACATGGATATTTCTTTGAGCAAGGAAGGAGACATTTCCTAAAAAACTGTGTTCAAGATCTGCTTTCATTTGAACCTATCCTGAAGTCAAAGAAGTTAATGTGGCTTCATCTGAGAGCAGAATTTTGTCTAAAATCTTCATTACATGCCAATTCCATGAGGATAATTCATAGTTAAGGCCTCTGAACACATATAAAATAATCCTCTTTTGCTTCATATAATGAATAGAATAGATAGGGAATTGCTTTCCCAGACTTTCTGAGGAAACTGAAGCAATGTGTTAAAGTTTTAACAGCTTTTATTTCTCTTTTCAGATCTTAACCCAGTATCAAATATTAAAGTCCTAATATATTTAAGGAAAGCAGAAGTTGCTGTTATAATTAATTTCCTGTCTGAGGGGAAAAATAAAAGTATTGCTAGCCCTTTTGGAAAGAATGTGAGTAATCCTTTAAAAGAAAAACAGAACAAATGTGTACACATGTACAAAAATCTTTCTTTTTTCCCTTAAGCCTCAACTACATTTGTTGTACTTTTACAAAAAGATGTAATTCGATTTGAAAATGCCATGCCACATTGAGAACATAAAAGTGCAAAATACATTTAAAACATAAAACTTCCAAATTCCACAATCTACATATACTCTATGTGTTGGGAAACAGGCCGAGGAGTAAAAATATTTGCTGATCACACAGAAATTTCTACCAGATCTCCACCTTGCAAAATAAGTATCTAATTTCAGTCCAAGTAAGTGCAGGCTGTGAAGTTTAATGCAAGTAAGCGGCCAAGAAATACATAAAGTAGTAGAAAAAGCTGACATCAAAATATCTAATCAGCTATTTGCTTTTCTTTCAAATACACCAGCTCAGTTGCAGACTTGTAGTGATCACCTGGAAGAGCATGCAGTGATTTCATGAAATCATACTGGAAGAGGAAAAGGATGATTTCACAGGTGGGCAAGAGAAACATTTGTAAAGAAATATTTTCCCATTTTTTGTCATCAGAAGGGCTACCATTTCAAGAGTTTGCCTCCTCAGGGATCCCCCTTGATAAATGGATACCGTGTTTGACAAATGGCTCATCTCCATGCTCCAGGAAGGGGTGAAACAGGATGAGCTCAGTGTATTTGTTTGGGGTCCCGGGAACAATGCACTCCTTTATGAAGTTTGGGCTGTGTTGCCAACATCAAGCCCAAGGGTTGAGATGGGCTGATGGCTGATGACTCAATTTCTGCAACCACACACCCTCACTTTCCTCATCTAGCAAAGATATGTTGCAGGACGAAGAGTCTTTGAATTAGAAATCATTGTTTGCTTGTTTTGAAGGATAGAATTTTGGAATAAATAACAAATTCCAAAGAACAGAGCCATCTCTTATGTATGCATTATATGAAGAGCTTTAAAATTATGATTATGTTCCAGTTTGCTTAGACATTCAAAAAGTCAATGGAGACATCTGGTGCTTTTGCAGCTACATGAGCACATAAAAATACAGTAACAATAGGAAAAAAAAAAAGGAGAATATCTAACAATTAGGCCACAGCTGGAAGCAAAACGATGGCTGACATAACCATGACATACCATGTCACCTGTTTTGATGTACCCTTCTGTACGCTGTAACCTTTTTTTTTCCTCTCTCTTTTTCAACTTTATCAAAGATTCATTTAAAATACTAATGTTCTTCACTCTATTATTTGAAGTTAAAAGAAACATATGGTGCTTTGCAACAAAAGATAATTAGATTTCTTGTCTGCCTTCAGTATTATGGTTTTTAATGCACTTTAATGGAGTTTACAAATAGAATAGGCAAAATTAATGATAGAAAAGATTAAGAGGTTTGAAATGAGAATTTCCGAATTTCTGGGTTTGTTTCCTGTCTTATGGTCTGTCTACTGCAGCATCCTGTGCTCCTTCACTTCTGCTTCAGAAGAATGATAAATTTTTTAGTGCTGGAAAGAACAAATCAGAACAGTATCTTCCTCCTAAGCACTGCAGATAAGTGCAGCATAGGACCTAGAGCACAATGTTTTGTAGCCCTTTCATTCTCTGTTTGATGTTACAGTCAGCATTCACTTCCATCCACTCCAGAGATTAATCGTTACCTTGAATACTTCTAAGGTTGTCCTAAGTGTAATGTCTGAAATGAGTTCAGCAAATTGCATATGCATGGTGCAAAAATGAGTCCATTTTATTTTATATTTTTCCTTCTCAAAATGATGCTGACAATGTGACTGAGTAATAATTTATGAATATTTATTTATTACTCAGTAAATTAATATCAGTTCTTAAGATCATAAGAACTGTAAATAGTCTGATCCATTGGCATACTTCGCACATACAATGTGTAGAGATTTTGATACATTCTTTTCAACTCATAGGAGGACTTGAGTGAGAATAGTTTGATGCAAGATGTGAAACCATTGCTTGTGCATCTGCTGTGCTCACTTCAGTTTGAACAGAAAGGAAACCTGCACGTGAGAAGAAAGTAAAATTCTCCACAAACTTACTGAAACTAAATCGTGGTGATGTTTTTACTTATGACATATATTTTTGGGAAAAGAAAAAAAGAAGAAGAAAAGAAAGAAAAAATAACTGGAAATCTTGTTTTTTGTATTTCCTAAAGCATCTGATGTGATACATTGTAGAGAATTATTAGTTCAGGTAGAGAAGATGTTGATGAAGTCATCAGCTTGACATATGAAAATGCAACATACAGTATTCAGTAGGATTCTGCCTGTAAGCCACTCTGTAGGGCATTTGAAAAACAGCAACTGCTGCCTTTTTTCCAGTGAAGATGATAAAATATTTAGGCTACTGAATGCATCTCTGAATGCTGCCTGCATTACCTGTTGTCTGTCTTCAGATAAGACAAATCTAGGCTGGAATAGGTACAGAGAAGGGCTAAAAGATTAGTGGATGAGAAGAGCTTGTTTACAGTGACTCATGTCTTTTAAAACATTGAATGGGAGGAGGTATAGTTACACCTGGTATTTCATTTTCTGAAGTGATTAGTGACATAACCTTTTCAAATCCAAACTCAAAAATACGTGGGTCATAGTATCAAGGTTTGCATTCAAGAGGAGCAGCTTTCATTTGCAACTGGAGTGACAGTGCATCACAAGTTTTGTTGTAGGAATCAAATATACTTTAGTCCTCTCTAAAGGAAGGCAAAATACAGCCTTGGATATATAATGACTTCCTTAAATTCAGCGTGACCTCAGCCTAAATTGATTTAATCATTAAAATAATATTCTATCATTTCCCTTACTTCTTTACTGATTTCATTTTGTGAAGAATTTTGCATTATTTCTGCATCAGCATGTTAACAACAACTGTTTTATAAATTTGTAAGACAAGCCTTTAGATCTCTGGTCTTCTTGGCTAAGAGGACATGGATAAAGTTTTTTGTGTTTTTTTTTAATTTACATAATATTTTAAAATATGAACAATGCATTGGCTATAGAATTTTATATGTCTTCATGTTTTTGTGCAGATTCTCAGCTGATAGATTTACATTGCACTTAACTCTGGGTAATTTTATGTCATTATTCTCTTACATAATAATATGAAAAGTACATATAAGGTTTTTTTACTAAGGTTTACAAAAATTCTTTCTACCAAGTATGTGATTTTTAGTCATTAATGAATCCCAAGGTCTACTTATGAGGTGTTGTAGGCAAAACTACAGGATTTCATAATTTGCTTGGAGAACAATGAATAACTTCAAGGCTGTTTATAGCCCATCTTAGTCTACATTTAAGATGGAAAAGATTATTAAGATGGAAAAAAAATTATTACAGAAAGTCTTTAGAAATGGATAAAATGAGGGGAAAAAAACACCCTGATCAATTAACCAATTAATAATAGCATTGAATTTAAGCTTTAAACTAGTACTGGCTCCTGCAGAATAAGTCATTGCATTCAGTGGATCCTGAACTATGCATAAGAGAGAAGTTCTGCGGATGACCACAGGGATAAATATGTATTTCAATAATATAATTGTCTTATACAGTAAGTTACATTGTTCTTAATGCTTCCACAAATATTTGCATGGAATAATATGACTGCTAATCACTAATGATTCCCCAGGGTTTATGTCTTTCCCAAGCACTGATTCTCCAGAAGGAGGGGGACAAGAACACAAGTAAAGAGGCTGTCCCACCTCCTGCAGAATGAAACTGTCAAATTCCCCCTTTAAAAACAAAGAAGAAATCAGGAGTTGGCAAGAAAAAAATAAAAACAATCAAACAGCTCAGTGCTTAAAATGGCTGTTCTGGAGACCTGGTGACAAGGATCTTTTAAAACGATTGAAAGAAAAAAAAAAAAAGGAAAACAAACATATCCACCTCTTGCCAGCACAACAACAAGGCGGCCAGGTTTGTTTAAGCTGAGGAATGGGCATGTTTGTCTTCAACCCTTTTGAAACAGGTGACAGATATTGTGCCAGAAAAAATTTACTGACACAATTATTGTTTCTTCAAGTCAATGTTTGACCTAGACCTAGGGCTAAGGGTGTTCACTCTCCTAACATAATCTCTAGATATTTTTTCCCCAAAGGTGAGGAAGTTTGCTGCAAGAAAAAGGATCGAACTGCAGAGACCCACTGAAAGTTTACAAGGTGGAGGCAATCCAGGGCTAAAAATATTTGAAACCCTGTTCTAGCATGTGTGCATATCTGCTTCAGAGTCAGAGCCTGTTTGCACAGCCAAAGCTTGTGTCCTAACAGTCTGCTCGAGACCAGTCCTTCCTTCTGCTTTAGCTCCTTTCCCCTGAGAGGCTGCACTTCTTTGTTAATTATTCTTTCCTCATATACTTAGTAAACTTCTGACTTCGTTTCATTCACTCATCTAGGAAGAACGTAGTTAGAAATGTATATGAGAATCCTCTAAAATTAAGTAACTCTGATTGCTACATATTCTCTAGGGAAAAGGGACAGTACACTTCTTGACACATTTTCCACTCAAATGAGTAATGCTAAATCTTTTCCTTGTATGTCCTGCATGATTTCATGTTGCATTAATAATTCCAGATAAGTATCACTGATGTTAGTTAATTTTTTTTGTTAAATATTTGAAGATGCCCTGGTTCTCCTCTATCCTGTTACCATTACTCTGTTTTCCATCTTTCCTTCTCCTTTAGTGCCTCCCTCTCCTCTCCTGTATATGGAGAATGATAGAATAAAGTATCTGCCTAGCAGACATTCTTTATGCTGAAAATAAAAATTCACCATAGACCTTTCTGATGTCAAAGATGGACTGCAGTATATTTTACTGTAATTGGTTTTGGCTTCTGTAAAGAAACTTTCTTCCTGTAACAGAAATAGTGGCTTCAGTTCAGTTAGGTCAAAATATTATTCCATTTCCCTGTGTTTGCTTGTTTCTTTCCACCATTGCTTTTAAAATAATTGAGAGTATTGCAACACTTCTGAGCATTACAATAAAGACAACTGAAGTGGGTGCAGATTATCCATACCTCTTTAGATACTCTGAATTGTGCTGGAAGAGCCAAACCTTTGGACAGAAACACATTTGCATGACTCAGCCTTTTGATAAGTCTTCCATCACTAGATACTTAAAAAGAAAGAATAAAGATTACCATCTGACTCACTCATCCATGTTTATCTGAACAAGTGAAATGAAAATGTACAGTGCTTTTGCACCCAGAAAAGATTTCATTCTCACTGACCTCAGTGTCAGGGATGGTTATGGAGCAGATAATCATGAGTGAAATCACACAGTAAGTGTGAGACAGCCAGGGGATCAGCCCAGCCAGCATGTGTTCATGAAAGGCAGGTCCTACCTGACCAACCTCATGTCCTTCTATGACCAGGTGACTTGCATGGTGGATGAGGGAGATGCTGTTGACATACTCTACCTAGACCTCAGCACAGCCTTTGACACTGTCTCCCACAGTATTCTCCTAGAGAAGCTGCAGCCTGTGGCTTAGACGAGTGTAATATTTGCTTGATGGCTGGACCCAGAGGATGTGTTGGTGAATGGAGTTAAATCCAGCCTGGTGGCTGATCACGAGTGCTGCTCCCAAGAGGTCAGTATTGGAGAGAGTTCTCTTTAATATCATTATTGATGATCTGGATCAGGGATTGAGTGCACCCTCAGTAAGTTTGCAGATCACACCAATTTGGGAGGAAGTGTTGATCTGCCTGAGAAGAAAGGCCCTACAAAGGGATCTGGGCAGGCTGTATAGCTGGGCTGAGGTCAGTGGGATGAGGTTCAACAAGACCAAACGCAGGGTCCTGCACTTCAGTCATAACAAACCCAGGCAACGCTACAGGTCTGGGGCAAAATGCCTGGAAAGCTGCATGGAGGAAAAGGATTTGAGGATGTTAGCTGACAGCCAGCTGAACGTGAGCCAGTAGTGTGCCCAGGTGGCCAAAGAAGTTTCTTTTAAGGTAGTCAGGAAAACTAGGGTCCATAATATCCAAACGAGTAAATAAAACTTGGTGAGGAGCATATGACTGAAAGATTTTCTGTCAAGATGAAGTGATAAAAAGCCTATATAGAATAGACCAACACCTCCATGCAGCAGCTGAGGTCATTGATAAGCAGTGGAGAAAAATACAAGAGGAAATACAAAGATATCTAGAATTCTGTATAATTGTTTATAGGATTATCCCTTGCAGCAAGGGATATATGGCAACAAGGATTCCTAAAACTCTTCTTGTCCTGTCTGAAGTGGTTAGTCATAAAGATGAGCTGGTTTATTGTTTGTTTTTCAAAAACAGCCCTTGTTGAGAACCTTGACATTGCTCCAAGTGTAAAACTGGACTCTGTTTTATTGTAGATTATTCAAAAGCGTGGCTAATGTTTTGTGAGTATAGGAAGAAAATAAGTGAAACTTTTTAAAAATGCAAATGTCAAGGGCAGCCAGCTGATTTTGCAGTGGAAAAATTTGAATAGCAAAATCCTGCTCGTCCCAGAAGAGCAATTATGATTTATTGATATAAGCATTTAAGAGAAGCTTAGTCATAAATCCTAGCTGCAGTCAATGACAGTGAGCCTAGATTTAAAGCCTGACTTCTTGGTTGTCAGGGTGAATAATCTGAGGGCCTGAGTTCATGGCAGCAACCTTAGCTGGACGGTTGTGATGTATTGGCTGGCGACCCTTGAGATAGAGCTGAGTTTCCATTTAAACTCAGAGCTAGTAAAATCAAGTCGTTCTCCAAAAATGTGTGAGTGATTGAGAACTGAACTTTTGTATTCCAAAATGCAACAATGGTGAGTGTTTGACAGGTTCAAACTACAGACTTGCAAACAGAAGAGCTATAGTTCAGGGAAACTTTAGAGAACACAGTAAAATTGGAGATGCAATGTTCAGCATCTTATGCTTGTAAGATCTGCCAGTTTCAGAGGTAGAGTAAAAAGATGCAGAGAAGATATTTGTGAGTGATGGATAGAACAGGGCCTTTTTCTTCTTCGTTAAAATGTCTGATGTTGAACATGAAACAAAAGAGAGGATTCAGATTACAATGAAACAGATTGTGTCTGTGCCAAAGTAGGATCAAAGGAAGCAGTATATTCTCTTGGAAAGCTTTTGGTCTGGCAGTTGAATAAAGAGGATATTTTTCAAATAATTTCTTTGGAAAAGAAATGCAGAATTTGAGCTTTATCTTATATGTGACTCAAGAATGTAGGTCTTTTACTTCTTATTCTAGATTAAATCCTGTTACATGGCTGCCTTTTGAAGGATTTAATTGCTCCAAGGATTCACGCTTACACAGTATTCTTCACCTCTTAGAAATCACCGTAAGTCCTACTTTAGTAATGCTATTCTTTGATGAGAATATATCATGACCTGTGTAAAGTGGGTTAGGACTTTCCTCATTCCCTTGTCATCACAATTGAATTCTGGCCAATATAAATGTCCTGTCTTATTGGCAGGGACCAAAGAAAAATCAGACGCACTGAGAGGATTGCAAATGAAGGACTTTCACAGCTAAGTAAGTAATAGTTTATTCTTCCAAAAACCAGAATATTTTGGATGAAAGAGATCAAGACACCAGTTCTTGGCTGCTATTGCTTATATTATGTCTGTTTTGTGGGCAAACAATAGCTCCAAAGCTCTGTTTTTCAAATAAGGAGATAAGTGTCTTCTTCTGCTCTGGTGAACGGTTAAAAACATAGAGCCAGAAATGTGCTTATAATTCCCATGAAAAGTAGGATGAAGGTTTCTGAGGGCTCACAGAGGTCATAATAAGAAAGCAGCACAAAAAAAAATTAGTTTCAGTTTTTAATGTCGTAGTTCTCAGTGTGCCACGTGCTACGTATTTCACAAAGCGCTTGCTTTCATTCCAGCAAGGGTTTCGTTTTATTTTTATTATTTTGCTATGGATTTCACTGGAGCTAAGATCACATTGCAAAAGTTAGTGGAAAACAGAAAACTGGAATTTCCTATGCATTTCTCACACTAATACTAAATACCTTTTTAGGTAAAAATATGTATTTTGTTTTGTTTTCTTAGGCTTATTCTAAGTATTTCCTCAAATTTATTACTTCTCAGTTCTGCTTTGGTTAATGAGTAATTCCACTTGCAGATCAGCCTGAAACATATTAAATAAATTAGAGGATCCAATTTGCTAAATTACCATTTTGAAAACATTCCATACTTCTACAACTACAAAATAAAGTTTGGATCCATTGTTTATTTTATTTTGTAGTGCAAAGCTAATTTGTTATTTACTGGAAATTTATTTTCTTTTGAGCAGATTCAGAGAGTTTCCCAACCATGCCCTTTTCGTTTTACACTGTCATTGAAATAAAGATTCAGTTATTACCATTTCCATATTCTGGATATAATTATCCATTAAGCAAATGAAGAATAAATGGAATTGGAGAGACAGAGTGTATTTTTTTTTCTGGAAATCAAACTCTACCAGAAAGATCCTTTCATTCTCTTTCTTTTTTTTTTTTTCCTATGAATAAAAGATGTATTTGTAGTTCCACAGAAGTAACTGCATGATGAAGAGAAACACATTTTGATGTTGTTATTTTCATATTGTCATGGTGCCAAATGACAGAGCTTTTATAATATTTGTGAGTCAGTGACTGTACAGAACAGTAGTTCCTGTTGATTAATTGTATTAGACAACAATATGAGCAGAGGTGAGAAAGCTGCTGCCAAGAAAAAACAAGACAGCAATGAGAAATACACAAATAATAAATATCTAAGGATGCACTGATACACATAAACCATGTAGATGCCAATATATTTAATGGCAATGATGTCAATTTCAGTGAGAAGTAAGCACGCCTTCATGTTGACAATTTGAGTAGGTGAGAAAATCAAGATATTATGCTGGCTTGCAGACACTGAAATCAAAATCTCTCTAGGAAAAAAATAACAGAGATCACTGAAGTAAATATAAACTGTGCATAGATTTAAACCTTCAAAAGAAACTAGGATAAAGTACATAGTAATGGCCTTTTGCCAGTAAAATTATTTAGTCTTTCACCTTGCAGGTCCAAAATCTTGAGGTCAGGTTCACAGCAGAGCAGGGCCTGTGATTTCAGTGTTGCAAGTAGGGAAATGAACTGGTTTGCTACAGTGCATTATCCATATGCTTAAAGCTTTTTGAATATCTCAAACCAAATTCTGTCTTGAGAAATATGTGCACTAAATCCTGATGTTTTTTTGTTTGTTTGTTTGTTTAGTTTGAACTTTTTTTTTTGTTATCTTACCTATACTGTCATCTCCTTTTTTGTTTATTTTACTTACAGAAACACCATTACCCGTGTATAATCACAGTTGACTTAGCAGTGATGGCTCAGGGAATCTGTTTAAGGAGAATTTATCAGTTCTGGGTAAGGCTCTGAAATTGTCTCTTAATTGGATGCTTTAATACTCACCAAACCATACAATCTGCCATTGGCATCTTTTTCTCTAGCAGAAATGGAAATCACTTAAGGCTTGCTGGCCATTCAGGCAGGTGGACCACCAACAGACCCAAAACACAGCCACTGTTTTGGTGCAAAATCACAGTGCAACACTTAACTCCTCCTGCAGGCAATCTGTGAGTCAACTTGAAATGGAGCTTGAAACTGTAGAAGGGAAGATCCCTGTGCTAGATATGTAAAAAAATGCTTCAGCTGGCAGACCAAAAAAAAAAAAAAAAAAAAAAAAAGGATATTTTAAAATAAGAGGAAAAAAAAGACTTAAAGACCAATTGAGAAACCAGAAAGAGAAGAAAACTAAGAGAAGAAAACTTAACAGTTAATTGAGATTGAGGGTTCTTACTTAGCAGAAGAGAGACAGCGTATGGGAAAGGCTATTGGGGGTCAGGGTTTTTATGTAAAATGGGGAAAATGAAGAAAATACATACCTACAGACATTTATTGTTAAATGCAGATCAGTTTCTTCATTATGCCAGCCAAAGTAAGGAGTGAACACTTAAAGGCAAATCATAGAATCATAGAATGGCTTCAGTTGAAAGTGACCTTAAAGATTATCAAGTTCCAACCCCCTGAAAGGGTTGAAATGTTTGCTTCTTTTGTAGTGCTGCATCTCTCTCTGCAACCATTCTCTTTGGATTACTTACTTAGGCAGAAATCTGATTTAAATGTTCATCTTAAAGAAAGACATTAATGCAAAGAGAACTTCCTGGCCTTGCTTACAGGGAAAGATGTTAACATGGGAAGCCCTTCAAAAGCCATCTGCACTCTGGTTTAGGAGGATGTGAAAAGTCCAGTGGAGTAACCTGATTCAGATTAAACAGAAAGTGCTCACCCACTTCCTTTTCATGTGGAGAGACTTGAAAGCATTCATGTTTGATGATGTGAGACTCAAATCCCCATCCCTGGAGGTGTTCAAGGCCAGATTGGATGGGGCCCTGAGCAACCTGGTCTAGTATTAAATGGGGATGGGGAGGTTGGTGGACCTGCACGTGGTAGGGGGATTGGAGATCCATGATCCTTGAGGTCATTTCCAACCCTGGCCATTCTGTGATTCTGTGAAATGCTGAACTTAGTGACTGCCTGGCAGGCTGGATCTTAATGGTGTCATTTGCTATCCCAAATGGACAAGAGGATTCCTTCTATGCAGAACAAGATGGGGAATGATCTCACAAGTTTCCTGCTAATGCTTTGTCAATTATTATTATTATCATCATTAAACAGAGCATTAAACTACATAGAATCTCATAACAATAAATGACACTTTTGGTACATTACCTGTTTAATACTACAGTAATTGCTTGTGATTAGATATAACTAATAAAAAGTCTTCTTGCCAACATGATCTTTTTAATTAAGTATTTCATAGCTTCTAGTAAAAGCAAAATGAATTCTCAGTTGGTGTAATATCAATCTGGGACACCAGCCCTGATGGTGTGTTTTTCTGCTTTTTTCCAATGTTACCTCTGCAGTTTGATCCACACAAAAACTGAAGGCTACTGATGTCACTTTCTTCAAACAGTCTGCTGACCCCCTTTTACCATAGATACAATTATTCAGATTTTGACACCACTTGTTCCTCTTCCTGCTCCCTCTAAGTGCAATCCCAAAGGAGTTTAAGATTCAGTGATGTGACTCCTACCAATTTTATGAGCAATAATATCAGACTTGCTTGACTTCCAAATTCTTCAGGAAATGAGCATGAAAGCTTGAAAAATGTTGAAGTTAATATTAAACAGATTAACAGATAATATAGCTCTGACAGGTTTATTGGCATCTTCAGAAGTGGAAAACATAGACAGAAACACCAAACTGCATCCCAGCATTCACAGCACTGATACTTGTGAACTCTTACAAGGAAACATCAGGTTGTTTCCAAAACCTAACTTTCATATTACCATTCTGTCCACCCAGAATCAGATCTTGAGGTTTGGATCATTATCAAATATTAATATCTAGTTGAATAAGGTTTCCTTTAATCATCTTTCAAACATTTGTGTGAAGAATTTTCAATAACATTCAATAGGTTTCCATTTCTACTTTATTTCAGCACTTCACTCTGAGTCCACACCTACTGTTAATGCTCCTCAGGGACTAACAGATCCAAATCTTTCTACTATTGTGTCCTTGGAGTTTGTTATCTCCTAGCATAGCCACCCTAACCCAGAGACACATTCCTCTAAATCCAACTGCCACACTATCCCACTCTGCATCTTCAACACTCCAAGTATTAATTCTTCATATGTATTTGTATGTCCTAGAGCTGGGGTGGTAAATTACTGTTTATTTTAATGGCAGAGGATGAAAGCCTACCAAGAACTTTCCTGAAAATACCGAGGAAGATGCTATTAGCAGGTGATGCTGCCCAGCTGTCTCATGAGAATATGTGGTCCAGTCACTGGAATTCACTCCGTCTGTAGCTCAGGTACTTGATCAAAATTGACAGGCATTCAGTGATAGCAAAGGAACCGCAGGTTAAGTTTCAGCCCACTTCTTATGTTTATTTTGATTGTACTGCTTTTTCCAAGTTAAAACTAAAAATGCAAGCAAATTTTTCTCCATCTGTAACAGTAGGAAGAGAACGCTTTTAGTACACATATCTCCTGAAAACTGCTATTTTCCACAGTCCTTATGTCACAGCTTTCAGTTTCTCAAATGATTTGTTTCAAAACTATGCTGACACAGAAAGCTGAACAGACATTGTTTGCAGAAGGGAAAAAAAGACGAGAAATTTTACTGGGATAATTTTATATACTTTTACAGTAGAGCTTCAGTCTCATACTGGTCAGCAGAGGCTCTTTCAGGAAGATAGTTAGTACCTTTGTAGATTATATGAGAGAAAAGAGGCAAAATATGTAATAGAAATGCTCTTACAATTAGACTATTTATTACTTCTAGCTGTAAACTGGTTGTAAATATGGCTTTTCTGGCATAGCTCCTGGCAAGCAAACTAACTACAGTGATGCAAAGTTGTGGAGTTTCCATTTCATTTCTTGCCTCATTAATTTCATTAACTTACAAATAGATGAATACATAAAATTAAAAAGTAATTTCCTTTTAATATTTTTAAATTACTCTCTCCAAGTATTCAAACCTTTTAATCTGCTCTTTTAAGGTCTCCATCTAATTGCTTTTACGGAGACATAATTGAGGTTTTGTGAATCAAATATCAGTGTGATTGATTATAAAAAAGCTAATCAGAGAGTGCCATTCACAAGACAAATGCAATTGTTTCTAAAATATTTACTTGCAGTCTCTGCCACTTTACTAACTTTGCAGCGTGTGCAAAACGTGTGGGTGCAATGTGTTAAGGTGTGATTTTATGTGGGGAAATCAAACCTAGTCATGGAGAGAAGTCTGTTTCTTCTTTTTCTTATACAAGGACAGATTGCATGGGAATTATAGTGTTTCCCATTTAATAGAAGTAGCCTTTGTTTTGATGTTTTTCACAACAGTGACAAATGGCAGCTAAAAAGAAAAGGGGAGAATGTAATCAATCTTCCCACCTTTAAAAATAGCTGAAAAAGAGAAGAAAAACTAAACTACTTAAAAAACTCATTTGAGACAAACAGTTATCTGCAAGATAAAGCAAGTGCAGAAGACGACTGGGGCTGGATGGCCTGGTCTTGGGCAGGCAAAAATGTGGCTCTGTTTCTTCTATCTGTTTGGGATTCCAGTTTCCATGGGCAGAACAGAGCAGCAGGTATGTCCAGAAAGGAGAGTGCTCACTAAAAAGGCCACAGAGTGAGTCTGAGAGCAGAAAATATGTAAGGAAGAAACAAGAAAGAAAAATGGAATCTTATTTCAAGAATTCCAAAGTACTGGTTGACTTTGTCAATAGCATCAAAGACTTCAAGGGGTTATTCAGTCTGGAAATCATCTAGATGGTTAACATTTATTTAATAGTATTTTAATAATGCAACAATTTAATGTTCACACTTACTATCAAAAGGAAAAGAAAGCAGAACAGTAAAATTACATCCTGTGATATTTGAATGATATTTCTCTAAAGTTAGGACTAGCCACAAAAATATAAAGCCGAAAATTCCACTGTATCCTGAGGAATCCATTCCAAAAGCTTGTATTATAAATGAAAGATGAAAATATGTAATGTCTCAATCATTTTGCTGAACTGAGTGGAAATTAACTCCTGGGAGGATTAGATCAGACTCTGCAATGAACAGTTTTGGTGATGGAATGCTTGGAAGGGAAAACTTATCACTTCTTAGATCATGTAAGATGTGAAACAAACAGGCCAAATTAAGTGGTCGGTTGTTTATTCTGGTATTTAAAATGGCATAAATGAGAATCACCTGGGTTTACAAAACTGGTCTCTTCAGTTCAAGAAGAATGGGGAACTATTGGAGAGAGTCCAATAGAGAGAGAGTGGAGAGCTATGGAGACGCCAGGTACCTGATGCATCTCCATATGAGGAAATGCTGAGAGATGTGAGGCTGTTCAACTTGGAGAAAACTGAGGAGGAATCATATCAATGCTCATAAAGATCTAATAGGTGGGAGCCAAGTGGATGGGAGCATGCTTTTTTTCAATGGTGCCCAGTAATAGGATATGGGGCAATGGACACATGATGGAACACTGGAAGTTCCATATCAACATGATGAAAAACTTGTTTATTTTGAGGGTTACAGAACACTGGAACAGGCTGCCCAGAGTGGTGCTGGAGTCTCCTTCTCAGGAAATATACAACACATTCCTGGATACTTTTTTATGTAACCTAATATAAGGAACCTTCTCTAGCAGAGAGTTAGACTCAATCTACAGAAGTTCCTTCCAACACCTACAATTCTGTGATTCCCTGACCTACTGCTAATATAACCTCAATCAGGCTCAGTTTAGTGCCTGTGGTAAGTGTCAATCTAATATTTTTTCTTTGACACATTTTTAGTAGACAGTAGAAATTTTGTTACTGAAATGCATGGCTATTGTAAAAATACATGCAGAGATTCTGACCCCTCTAGTGCATTGTAAGACTCACCATTGTTCCTTTTTAAATCAAGTATTGATTTGCCTTGGGTTCAATGCATGCTTTAAGCTAGTGCACCATCATGAAAAAGAATAATAGGATTATTTAGGGATAAGTTTCTTAGATCTAGCCAAATGGCAACATTTTCATAATTTTAATGAAGAAATGTAGGAACATATTTTTCATGTAATGCCTGGAAGTAGTCCAGTACATTTTCCATTAAAATCACCTGGTTAGAAATTTAGGGCTCTTGTGCTTGAAAATAATAATTTTAAAGTCACTGTTTTATTTAATATCAGGTGGTCTGAGAGCTGATTTGTATCTCTGCTGCACCCTAATGCAAAACAGAAAGAAAGTTCTCTGAGTTTCCTTTGGAAAGAATGTGTGAGCTGCTCCCATTTCAGCTCTGCACTTTTCTCTCTTGGAGACTTTGAAAATTCATTAAGCTCTTGTCACTCAGTAATTTCCAGAGATATGCCTAGCATTTACAATGCTTTTTTTTTTTTTTTTTTTGTCATTATCCAGAAACTTTATTTCCTACTTTTCCAACATTGCACTGTCTTAGAGATAAATTCACTACAACTTCTCACATAGTGCTATTTCCTGACTCATTTCATCCCTGCTTCATTTTTTCATATGAAGTTTACCAAATCTTTCTAGTCCCCTTTTTTTCCATTCCACTTTAGTTTTTATTATTCATATGGAATCACAAACACATAATTCTCCATTTTTGGTCCATTTTCCACCCTACATTTTTTCTGTGCTTTTGTACAGACTATTCAAATAAATCTAGATAAAATCTAGAACTGCTGATCTTCTGCTGGTTGACTGTTGGCTCCTTCCTCAGCAGTATGTCCACTGGTTGATTCCCTCAAAGCAGTATTTTGGGTTACGTGGTCAGTTTCTGAGGCCTATCTCTTTGAAAGACAGTGATGATTCCTTCAAAAATCTGGCTTACACCTGAATAAGCTAGTCCCTCTGGTGAGTGATAAGCAAATATAAGCACAGAGCCAGTACCCAAAGCATAATTTATTGGATCAATGTTTCTCTGTCGCTTCCTGATCTGACACATTGAGATGAGAACAGCAGTGAGCAATATTCTTGAAGTGTGCACAGTGACACTGGCAGCTAGAACACATCTGGAAGAGAGATGAGAAATCACTTTGCTGTGGATATTTTTGTCAACATAAAGATTTCTGAAATAAAGCAGTGAGGCCAAAGAAAAAAATGTAACAAAGTACCAGCAAAACCAGGAAATGTTATCAAGGCATCTGACAAGCTCAGCAAATGCCAGAATTCCCTCCGTGGTAAATTCTAATTAAAAAATCCATTGTTTCCATTATTGCTGAACAATTCTTTCAAAAATATATATAAATATATTTTAGGTTATTAATTATTTTTGAATATTACAAAGCGGTTGGAGGGTATTTTCCTCTTTCTCATTTGATAACTGAACCATTAAAAATAAGGTGGTAATATAAGGATTGGTGAAAAAAAATTTAAGTCACAGAAGAAAACATGCCATTTCAGATGTTGTGGTGCTTTTTTTCTGAAAAAGCCAGTCTAGTACCAAATTAAATTAACTTTCTGTGCTGAAGGAATCTTGTCAATTACTTCTCCACTTTTGCTCTTGAATTCTAACTGAAACTCAGCATGAGGAAATGGCACAGTTGTTTTTGCAAGTAAACTAGAGAATACATCCATCAGGGCATACCACTCACTGTGTTGTCCAGAAAGCATGATTCGGCTGCTTATACTTGTGTGCTAATTGTCATGCTGAGTTTTGTTGTCTATCCAGTAAGCCATGCATCAAAAACTCAAGATTCAACAGTAAAACATCATGCTAATTGAAAAAGCAGGTATAAATGAATAATTCCTCAAAACAGTGAATGGTGATTTAGATTATTGTATGTGGGGAACCTGTATTATTTAGCATCGGGAAGAGCTTCAGAAGTATTGTTACACACCGGTCCCTCTATTACCTACATTTACTACTAAATGCATGACCTTCAGAAATGCATTTGCATTATTCACTTTACCCAGGTTACACAGGTCTGGCATAGAATAATTTTACTAACAGAAAATCATATAAATGTGGAAAATGTACTGTAACCAACTCTTCACTCAAGGATATTTTAAATGTTGTGGATAGAGTAAGTGCTGATTAGAAGAGAACGAGTCTGAGAAAGCTTTGTGTTTTAATGTAAGATTTTCTGTAGAGAAAGCATTACGTGTGGGTACGTTGTAAAGGTTTCTTTCATGTGTATGCTCAGTGGCATATCTCAAAAATGTTAATATTTCTTAAGAAGATCTTTCACTGTCGTCTCTATTCCAGTCTATGTGGCAATATAGTTTGAACATTTTGGCAAGTGTGAACTCAAGTGAGATTGATGTGCTTAGCTTGGTGACCTTGCTTGTATAGTATTTTTATGTTATAAATG